CCTCGCTGCACCCACGGTGCGTCCAGCTTCTGCACCACCGATATTCAAGCAATAAAACCAGCGTCGAGCAGGACTGGCTTTCAGTTTCCCCAGGATCACTCTCAATACATTAGACCAGTCCTTAACTTTTTTTTTTAAAAAAAAAGAAAAAAGCTCCACAACCATTAATGAGTTTGCACTAATTTAACCCAGCCTGAGCGCCATCGCTGTAAGATGGGTAAAACTCAGGGAAATGGGAGCGCGCCGGGATCCTGGCAGCAGCAGGGCTTTGTTTGACTTCTGCTGGGTCTTTCTCCATCCAAGATACATTTTTCCTTTGGCTGTCACTCTTTGTAATTACGAGCTGGTGGCAGAAATCCCAAACCTGAAGCAGCTTTCGGAGTCGAGCGCGGCACGTCCATGCCAGGGTGGGGTGTTACAGCTTCGAAATGCTTTGCAGGTTTTGCTCTTGTGGGATTTGTCTTCGCGCTTGCATGGGACGCGGCTGCAGTAAGGGTGGCTGGAACTTTCCCTCTGGGATACATCAGTTTTTCTCTGCAAACACTATTAACATCAGCGCCGTTGCGCAGGCAGGAGCTGTAGGTGGGGCAGCGCCTGCTCTCGGTTTCTTTTCACACCCTACACGTCATTATCTCCTGCAAAGTCACTTTGGAGGCCTTTTTGTAGTTTCAGCCTCAGAAAGAGTTGGGTGTTTTTTTTTTTTTTGCGTACTCCTGCCTGCGCCTCGCTCGGGTCCGCAGACGCGTTTCCCAGGGGGGGCTTGGCCACCTTGCCCCCACCCGCCCGCCCAGCGTGCCCTCCCCACAGTGCCGGCCACCTTTGCTCGAGAGGCTTTTGCACTCTGACCCGGCTCCTGCAAACGGGCCGTGTGCTGACGAAGCCGCTCACGGCTGTTGGCTTGTGGCTCGTTGTCATTGCCAGGAGCGTGCAAATGGAATGGCTGGGGGGGGTTGGGAGCCCAAATTCAGCCTGAATTTCACCTTCGGGGCTGCTCCTCAGCCTGCCCTTACCCCTGGCAGCAGGTC